GAGAAATGGCTGAAAGAGAGTGCTTGATTTGTTGACGACAATATTTCGAGTGCTTTGTATGTAGTCATCAAATGAAAAACATTGGGTGGAGTTTTATCTTTACCTTTGATGTTCTGTGGTGTTGGATGTTGGTTTGTTTGTAGAGGTGGTGGTTGGTGTGTGGTTGGTTGTGCTGATGTGTTGGTGGATGTTTAATGGTGATGGTGTTGTGGAGGTGGTGGTTGTGTTTGTGTGGAGGTGGTGGTTGGTGTGTGGTTGTGTTTCTGTGGAGGTGGTGGTGGCGGTGTGGTGGATGTGTTGGTTCGTGGAGGTGTTTGTGTGTGGATGTGGTAGCAGTAGTGATGCGTAGGAGTTGTAGTGTGGTGTGTTGTGACATTTGTATTTTTCTTTGAGTTGTGATATTGTGACATTCATATTTATGTTAATTGATTTTTTTATGCTAATAATACGATGATTAAGACAAAAAAAGATCGGTTCATCTGTAATGTGGGGTAAAGAGACAAAATTAATATTTTGCAACCTTTGTCTCAAGCAGATCAAACTGGGAAATAGACCGACAACCTATTTCAACAAGGAAGACTAACAAAATATTATTAAAAATTTCAAGTACATGCATAGAGTATGATAGAATACAATTAAGAAAATAAGTGCGATCGGCTAAAGAAATGTTGGAAAATTTGGAAGGAAATGAAGCAAATATCAACGGGCTTGAGGTGGGTTCTGATAAAGCTAACGATTTATGCTTCCGAGGAGTGGTGAGCAGAGAGACTGGCAGTGAGTATTTTTGAAATATCTCATATTTTTGTCAAGTTTAGATTATTTTCAAATCCAACAACATGTTAAATGAATTTGTAGGCGGTGCCTGCAACAAAAGAAATAAATAAATAAATATAGTGGAATCAATCTTGAGCTAGAGGAGAAGTTGAATTGTATGTTTGGAGGTATCGTGACAACAAACAACAATGCATGTTTTCCTAGTGAGGCGGGGTTTGGCGAAATCCTCAAAAATTTTGGAGCTGACCAAACAGGAGATTTCAATGATGGCCCCAGCCCGAACCTCCATGATGTTGAGTCCACGAGCCAGTTAAAGCGTCCCCGGGTTGAAAAAAAGAGAGGAAGCTGCTTTCCTCTGAAGCAAGATCTCACAATTGGTGGCTTCATGCACCAATGACCACGACCCGCCAGAAACAACTTCTGCCCAACAGATTATGTGAATTCTAGATGAAACTTCAGAAATTTACGACTTGTCGCAGTATTTTTTCTCTATGAAGTTTCTTGAAGATTCGACCTAGAGAGTTTTTCATAACGATGCCCACAGACCATAGGGTGGCTTACCTATGTTATTTTCATGGGAACAATGACATTTGAGAGACGCTCTTTTTATTAGATTTTTATGGGTCATTTCTATTTGTTTATAACGTTTCATGACGCCTTGGATATTTATGTTGCTTTGGACATGCCACTTTATATGAGAGTTTTTCATTACTTGTTATGTTTTCTATTTACTTTTGTAATGTTATTCCCTTATCTTAGTTTTATTCATAACCTTATATGATTGTAGCTAATTCATTGATGCTTATATGTTAGCTACTTCGATATCGAAATACATGGATACAACTATAGAAAGATGCAAAAGGAGAGTTGCAGCTACAATATGCTTGATGTAAAAATATTATAACTCGTACATAGAGCGCTTCTCTTGCATAACATTTTTATATGCTGGCGACAAATGGGTTGGGGAGTTGTTTGCGGGCCACCCAACGAGATTTAACAATATGTTATGCATGGAACGAGTGATTTTCACCAATCTGTTGAAGGAACTACACAAAAATCATAAATTTCATGGCTCATTCAGAATGACTTCACCGAAGGTGTTAGCAATAATCCTCAATATAATATCGCAGAATGAATCAATACGATGAGCTATGGAGCAATTTCAGCACTCTTCCGAAATAATTTGCAGATACTAGGATTGAATGCACTTATCAGTTTTCCTATGACAATTACTGTGCAACAGCTTATTATTAAGTTTCATTAGGATTGAATGCACTTATCAGTTTCCCTATGACAATTACTGTGCAACAGCTTATTATTAAGCTGCAACTGCCCCAAACAGACACTTAATCATATATTTGGTTGTATGTCTCATATTTAGATTTAATATATGTTATGAACTTGTAGCCTTTAGGTTCTACAATTCCTTGCATGGTGTTATTTACCCATTGGTTGCGGGGTCTAAGTCTCATTTGTTGGCTTGGGATTAAGTCATCCTACCCTCCTCCTCCTCCGCCTATAAGGTTTTCTTGGATGTCATAACTCATAATTATTGATAAAATTCTTTCTCGACTAAGAAAGTTCATAATCATTTTTTTTAAATGGACTAAGAGCTATGAATACATTGATTGATCTACAGCAGAATAAAATCATTACGTGCAGACGTGACCTCATTCACCATTATCTGTACATGTAGTGTCCACACGTAATAATTTCTCTTCTTTTAGGTTAGTGGCCCCTTCTTTGAGTTAGTTTACCATCTCTCCTAATTAGTTCCCTCACTCCTTATGTTGATCGATCATCTTCCATGAGTTAATCTTTCCTTGTGAATTCTTCGGTTCTACAAGTTATTAATTTCTCTTTACAGTGACAGTTCTTATCTTATACTTTAGGATCTTTCTTTATCAGTTATGTTCTCCCTTTTGCATCCTTATAATTTGCGGAGTTTTCATTTCTTAACACTTGTTTAATAAATAATTTTGAGCTATTTGGTTAATCCAAACTTGTTTGATGTTCCATATCCAAGTCCCATTATATTTGATGTGGTCACTCTTACATGACTAATGATAAGATAATGTCTTGAAAAGTGAAGATTATTATTAAAATAGACAGAGGAAGAGATAACAAACCGCAATGATGAAGAATGTAGGAGCTAAAGGAATAACATAGAAGAAAGTTCAGGCAACTAGTCTATTCAACTGCAGATTACTAATTGAACAGTTCTTATCTGTACTTTAGGATCTTTCCTTATCAGTTATGTTCCCCCTTTTGCATCCTTATTATTTTTGGAGCTTTCATCTCTTAAGACTTGTTGAAGTAATAATTTTGAGCAATTTGGTTAATCCAAACTTGTTTGATGTTCCATAATCTAAGTCCCATTATATTTGAAGTGGTACTCTTAAATGACTTAAGATAATGTCTTGAAAAGTGAAGATTATTATTAGAATAGACAGAGGAAGAGATAACAAACCCCTATAATGAATAATGTAGGAGCTAAAGGAATAACATAGAAGATAGTTTAGGCAACTAGTCTATTCAACTGCAGATTACTAATTGTGAAATATACTGATCAACAAAATGAATACACATCTTAAAATGAATGGAAATAAATATACGTGGAGTCAAGTTAGCAAGCCCCAATAAACATCAATGAGTAAGAGCTAATAAAATCACGCAAATTCAAGCAATTTGCACCTTACAAAACCATGCATAAAGGTATGATTCCACCATCAATAATAGAAAATTTCCTCAAAATTATTCTTACTAAATTTTAATCATAAAAAAATTTATAAATATGATTAATCAATCAAAACATATACTAAAAATAAATTTAATGACTGTAAAATTCATCCTATATAAATTGAAGTCATGCAGTCAGTTGGAGCTGAGAAGCTTCTGACCAAAATGCAACGTTTTGCAACGCCACAACTCTCTCTGGACCAACAAACATAAAACAGAATCCAGAATAACAAATATCTAGAATGGTTGAAAGCACTCAAAGTCAAACAAACAAAAATAAATAAATAAATAAACAAAACATAAAACTTCAAAGCAGATCGCAACGCCAAGTGATGATGAGAAAACAAAAGCAATAACACAAACTCTTGACGAAATCGTCATTCGGAAGAGGAAAACAAAATGTCTTACACTCCAGAATGAGAGACTGGAGATGTTATAAACTGTCCATCCTTGAAAGTATGAATATATTGCTGGGGTAATTCGTGCTCAACCTGCAATTGCATAATAACAAGCATTGGTCATAAATCACGGTACGGATAAAAGGTAAAGACGAAGATAGATACGACACAATATAATATCCATAGTACTGTTTAAGACTTGGAAAGCGCACAAAATCAACATCCAGTAGCGCACACATAGGAATAGAGGAACACTGGAATTTAATTTAGCTAATTTATGCTTAACTTATTCTATATGCACTCGTGAAGCATAAAACACAAGATATTCCACTGAAACAACTATAGATTTAGTCAAAAACATTAATTATAATTGAACCACTTGGATTTCAATAATTTTCAAAAAGAAATAGCAACTGATTTTTTCAAAAATGACCAAATTTTATTTTATAATATCGAGCCCACAAAAAAAGAACGAAGGAAAAACATTACAGGAGAGAGCTAAAGGTAGGGAAAAAATAACTGCTTGCATGCTATATTACTCATAATCACGAGCTACAGTATCTGTAAATTGTATTGTTGGGTAGTTGCTATTTTCAGGAGAAAAAATTGTAGCCGTCGATTGATATAATCACGAGCGTGGAAAACAATTGAATGGAAATTCCACCATCAATTTACCCAATTTGAAATATTTCCCTTTGTAAAACTATGAATTTGACCACATTGCATAAATCTAAGCAAAATTGTTATGCTTCCTAAAGAATAATCAAAGAATCATCTTAAATAAATTTGTCATCCCAGAGCACAAAAAACCTGTGATATCCATCATCAGTAGTAAACACAATCCTTGCATATAAAATAACTTCTGAAAAAGATGAGTAAATCTATCTAATAAGAATGTTGGATGTGAATTACTAAAAAGTAGAAGAATAGAAAAAAAGTCGCGATATTGATAATAAGTTTATAAAATAAAGTCAACAAAGATTACATTGTTGTCAAGAAATTATCTGAACTATAGAACTTCCAAAATTGTCCAATTCATAACTTTTTATACAAATGAGTTGTATGATTTTATATTATATCAACATTTTTTTTCGTTAAGCCTTTTAAGATTCAAAAGTTCCATTGTCTTATCATCAATTTTAATTCACTTGTCAATTTCTTGCAGCAAGAAGACATGTAATTATCATAATCAATAGTAGATTTTATATTTTTTCAAGAACATTAGACGCATTAAGTGAATCATGCAAATAATATGAAACAAGATACCCAAAGTTTTTAAGGAAACGTTCCTTAGCACGCTGCATCAAAATCCTATCATAGTATATATGCACGCCAAATTGATCTTGTTTAAAAGACTTGGATTATTCTAGTGCTTGAACTTAAATTCACCAAATTCTAGATATTGCAATTTAGGTTATGGGTGGGGGGGCTATGTGCATTTACATACATACCACAATTCTTATGTATTTATATATCTAACACATACAGTTTTACATTTCCATGCATAACACCTACATTTTTAACATCACATCATAAATATCACTATCGTTCACTTTTTAATAGTAAAATACACCTTCTTACGCATAGGCTAATCACATCAAAGAATTATAAATGTAAACTGAGAGTTTAGGTGCTGAATATGTAAATATAGAAAAATTGTGTGGTATGTAAGCAAATTTTCCTAATTATGTTTTAAATCAATCCAGGTAGATATAGATTCACTTACAACATTTAACCAAAACTATTGAGCATGCCTCACTAGTTTTAATTTAGAACATTCAACTCTTTTAAAATCAAGTAGTTGGTAATATTAAGAAAATTTTCAAAATTTTTAATATAAAAAAAACATCTTGAACTTCTACCTCCCATCAAATATATGCATGTAATTTAGAGATTTATAATTGTTACATCATGTTCAAAATCAGAACTCAACTGATTTAATTTAAGCTGGATCTTTCATTATATTTTTAATGACCAAAATATTATGTTCTACTTTATTCGACATTATGCAATCATAAACTTCAGTACTAATTGAATGTAGGATGATTTAAGAGGCATAGTTTATCATTACAAGATAGGATGAAATGTATAATAAAAATTCACAAAATTATAATCAATTGGTAACAAGCCTCAAGTTTAGTAAAAACCAACCACCCTTAGTGCGAAAACAGCAAATGCACTTCTTAGATTACAAACAATAACAGAAAAATTGCCAAATTTTAAAATCTTATAGAGCAAAATGAACAAATATAAAAGTAATAAAATAATTAAGATTAATCTTAAAAAAAATTACTACGTATCACAATTGACAAAAATTTTATCACGAACAGGCCAATCACTAAACTGACTAATAACAATTAAGGATTAAACATAATCTAATAAATGATCAAAGGTTATCTCTAATACAAGAAAACTCTCCTTGGAAAGTAGTTGTCAACACTTGCGAAGCGATTGAAAAATCCAAGTCAAATAGCTCACACACAAGAATTGAGTGATACTAGAATATATTTATGGCACAAAAATGACCCAAAATAGGAAATTACTTAAAATTCTCTAAGATCCAATCAAGAACTACAAATTTTAATTCATAACACTTAGATTTCAACAAATTTTCAACTTTTTCTACGCAAATATAGCATTTCTAGAACAAAAGAAAAAATAATTTCTTTGTGCTATAGTGTTAGGCTAAGCAAATCGTCGGAGAGAAAAAAATATTAGATTAAAGCCATGGTAAGACAGTTGCCTGCAGGTTATAGTCATAGAAAATACAACAGCAATAATTGTTTTCTATAATCTTGGGAATGGAAAAAAAGTTGCATGTGAACTCCGCACCACCAACTCTACCAAGCCTAAATAGGAGTCAACCACCCTTGAAGCTCAACTATGTACAACAACAACAAGCCTTTGTCCCACTAGTGGGGTCGGCTATATGAATCTTTTTTTCTCCATTACGTTGAGTGTCATATTTTCATTTACTTCTAATAAATTAAAATAATTCTTTATAAAACTTACTTAGGTCTTTTTAGTTCTACCCATAGCTTTCTTAATATAAGTTGAATTTAAAATCTGCTCTCTTAACCGGATCATCAGATGGTTGATATTTAATGTGATTGAACCATCTAAGACGACTCTCTCTAATCTTGCATGCCATTGGAGCTACACCAACCCTTTCTCGGATTTAATCACTTCGCATTCTATCTCTGAGTGTAAAGCCACTCATCCACCTAAGCATTCTCATCTTAGCAACACTTAGTTTTATGCTTTTCTTTTAAGGACAAGAATTCTATGTCGTAAAACATTGTAGTCTCACCACCGTCTTATAAAATATTCCTTTAAGTCTAAGCAGTACATTTCTTTCACAACTAGGTAGAAGATGCTAATTTATAAGAATCATATGAACTATATGTCAATCAGGAAGAACGAAAATCAGACAGCTAAATTAGAAGTTTTCTATAAATAGGAGCTTCCTTATTTAAATTATTTTCAATATCTTTATTCTGATTTATTTCCCTTTTAACGGAATATTTAAATTATGAATATGTATTATTAAGTTACCTAAAATAGATTATACATAATATTTTATACCTAAAATAGATTGTAAGATTATTATTTAATGGAATGAAAGTAAAGGGAAAAGACATCAAGCCTATTCATATTTCAACCTATTTTTTCTCAAAACTTTGACATGATATCAGAGCCAAATTTTTGCCCTAACTATCGGTAGTCGTTGGAAGACCGTTAAGACTCCCTTCCCGCTGGCCTTCTTGCCCGAAGGGAAGAACTATTTCTTTACCTTGATTCCCCAACTAACATGGTATCAGAGACGATCAATCTCTTCATCAATAATGCAGACTCATCTTCTTGAATGGTTTAGTCTCTGCATTAACGAGGCCTCCAACCCACAAACCCGCCTCCAAACCTTAGCCTTTGTGAGAGCCCTATTTGCCAACCCTAAGTCCTCCGACTCTAGTCGCCACGTGGCCATTGACGCTCTCTGTCATTTGCTTTACTCTGGCAACGCCGATTTCACCTTCTCTCGTTGCGTTGTTAAGTTCCTAGGCAACGCTGCAGCTCTCTACGAAACCTTCGCACCCTCAATCATCGAACTTCTTCGACCTTTTCTTGACGACAATGAAAAACCTGCGGCAGATGCGCTTTCTACCCTCGCTTATGTGGATGGCTTTTTACTGGATGAAGTTCTAGTGCTTTCTCTTGCTTCGAACCCGCTTCTCTCTATCAGGCCGATGCTTGTAAAGCTGCTAGTTTCTTGTTTGGAAGGGAATATGAGAAGTATCGTGGTTATGAAACCGCATGTTATGATTCAAGTGCTGCTAGGATTCGCCGAGGATCTCCATCCACTAATAAGGTCAAAAGCAATTGATGGCCTTGCTTTAGTGTGTCAGACAATTGATTCTGTTCAGTATGTAAAATGCTTCTGATGATATTAGTTTTAGTATTGATTGCATTATGATATATGCCGAAGTCGTGAGTTTAGATCTGTTGGTCAGGGAAGCTTCATAAAATTTTAAATAGGAAAAGTTAAATGTTGGTGGTAACATAGAGGAGCATGAGGTTTTGGAGTAGATCAGCAAAGGGGCATGTGGCTTTGCTCTCCTCGTGAAGAACAAGATGGAAAAGAAGAATTATGTCTTGAAGAAGATCAGACTTGCTCGACAGACAGATAGATGCCGCAGGTCTGCTCGCTAAGAGATGGAACTTATTCTAAAAAGTGCAAAATCCATGTAAAATTCATTCATTGTGGAGTATAAAGATTCTTGGGTTGAAAATGACTGTTATTTTTGTATTATCATTCATCTGATTCAGATCTTATTTGCTAGGCATCACTGCTTCTAAGGTATCTTTGACACTCAACAGCTTTGACATCTCGGCTTCAACACTTTTGGCTTGAAGATCAGATAACAAATCGTTCTCTTCATCGCAGGAAGAATCAATAGCATTTGGATAGTATAACAGAACGCGAATCCTACTTGTGGGCTATGATTGGTAGCATTTGGATCAGAACGCGGATCCTACTTATAGGCCATGATCAATAGCATTTGGATCAAGTAACTGGATCCTACTTGTGGGCTATG